CTCTGCGTGACGAGCTAAGGGTAGCTCGTGGGATTGCTGATCGGTCTCGGGATGAGATAGCTGCTCTCCAGACCCTTGTTGATGCCCACCATCGGGAGCACAAGGCTCTCTGCGAGATGCTTGAGCGCAAGGGCGTTCTTCATCGGAAGAAGCAGCGTACTGATGGTACGGCTTAACCCGACCAACGTAAACCGTGGGATGCGTTCGCATCTTACGTGGTAACTCGATCGTGTATGCGTTGCCTAGGCGGTGCAATACACGAAATGGGCCGATGTACTTGGGTAGTAGTTTACTGCTACCCAAGTTAGTCACTACATGCTTTGGTAGGTTAACCGTAGACAGTAGGACTAAGTCACCTTTATTAAATAAAAGAGTGTTTGCCCTTCCATTCTTGTCAGCGTTTTGCTTTTGCTTATGCACCGCTTCGGCGATGGAGTCTTGCACAAAACGGACTACCGTTTCACGAGCCAGTATGAACTCATCTGATGACTCGTTAGCTTCAGTGTGCTGTGAGCGCACTGCAGCAACATCAACCTTTTCTTCAGTGAGGGCTTCCGCACTCTCACTGGGATCATCTTCTTTAGTGAGGGCTTCCGCACTCTCACTGGCATCATCTTCTTCGATATCGATGTTATCAATATCGGCATCAAACGCAATGACCTCTTCGTCAGAGCGTGATGAGCGTGAACCAAACCGGTTTTTGCTCGCGCGAGTCCCTCCCCCCCTTAAACCAGAGTTACACTCTAGTAAGGTGGGTACACGCGGATGGCGTAAGCCATTCACGTAAAACGGTGTATGTGTCGTGGACACATGCACCGAGTTGTTAATGGCAAACTCTACCATTGGCAAAAACTCACTCCAACTCTTAAAGGAGTGTACGTATCCTCGAAGTATCTCTTCGAGGACACGGTTGGCACGCTCCGTCTGACCATCTGACTTTGGATGATCAGATGTAGACATCTTCAAGCGCGTTCCGAGTGATTTGAACACGGAACGCCAAAAATCAGCAGTGAATCGTGGATCTCTGTCTGATACGAGTTCACGGGGCAACCCATGAAGTCGGAAGATGGTGTCGATAAAGACACAAGCACAGCCACTTGCCGTGATTGACTCAGGTACAGCCACAAGGTGTACCATTTTGCTGAATCTGTCAACAAATACGAGAATACCCGTATTCCCGCGTGCGTCTTTGGGTAACCCGAAGACGAAATCCATTGAGATGGATTCCCAGCACTCAGCCGGAACCGGTAGAGGCTGTAAAGGTGCACGCATTGAAGGACTTGACTTCACTCGATGATAGACTTCGCATGCGCGAACATACTTGCGCACAAACTGATACTGGCGGGGCCAGTAAAAGTCTCGACTTACCGTGAGATATGTTTTCTCCCGGCCACGATGTCCTCCTATAGGAGCATCGTGATACCCTAACATGATCCGCAAACGCAGGTCAGTATCATCTGGAATGACAACACGTGGTGTGTCACCAGAAACGGCTGTATAATACAGTAAACCGCTGCGTGTAGTGTATCGATCTGATGCAGATCGATACGCAGACGATAATCGTTTCAACGATTCTCGTGATGGTTGTTAGGGATGTGTCAACAGCTTCACAATCTCACCATCTTGGGCATACGCTCGCATCACATCATCATGTAACGTTGTAGATGGTACTGAGGACGTCACAACCGCAACAGTGACTGTCTTACTGTTTCGTTTTACGACTGGTTCAAAGTCGGGACGACGTGAGAGTGCATGAGCGACGACATTAAGTCATCCTGGTTTGTACTCTACCGTAAATCTGTATTCTGCAAAGAATGACAACCACCGCGCCATTCGTTGTGAAAGGTGCGGGCTGTTCACTGCCGTGCGTAACGACGCATAGTCAGTGAAAACAATGAAGGGTCTATCTCCTAATAGATAGACTCTGAACTTCGCGAGTGCATACTTCATGTCAAGGAGTTCCTTGTCATGCACTGGGTAGTTCCGCTCAGCTGGTTTCAGCTGATGCGACTGATAGCAGACGACGCGTTCAACGCCTTCAAGATCGTACTGCATTGATGCACAGCCGATTGAGAAATCGCTGGCATCACAGACCACATGAAATGGCCTGTCTTGATCGGCAATTGCTAGGACTGGAGATTGTGTCAAGCTCTGCCTGATACCATCAAAGGAGCGCTGACATTCAGTGTTCCATAACCACATCTAGTTCTTTTTTAACAAACGAGAGAGGTGCACAGTCATCTCGGCGTAATTGCGTGAATACTTGTGCAAATACGCCGCTAGCCCAAGGAATTTTCGAAGACCTTTGACATCAACTAACACAGGCCAGTCGGTGATCGCCTTGATCTTTTCGGGATCAGGACGTACACCGTTCTTACCAACGATGCACCCAAGAAGTGGTATTTCGCTTGCCGCAAATATACACTTCTTGAGGTTTGCATACAATTGATGCTTTCGCATATGAAGGAACCTGTCGGACGTGGTATCTGTGACCCTCAACGTCCGGCTTTCCATCCATAGCCCAACTATGGATGAATACGTCATCGAAATAACTCGGCGCATATTCTCGTACTGGTCTCAACAGATGTGATACACATCTGTTGAATGTGGCAGGGGCATTAATAAGCCCTTGTGGCATTACTATCCATTCCCAGAGCATGCCGCTAGGCGTGCTAACTGCGGTATAGGGTATATCCCGTTCTCGCATAAGGATTTGATAGAAGCCATCCATCAAATCCATGGACGAAAAGATGATACTCTTTGACATACCATCACTGATTACGTCCTTCCTTGGTATCGGCGTCGGAGCCGGTACCGTTGCAGCATTCAGCTTGTTAAGTGCATGCACTATCCGCCACTCTCCTGTTGCTTTTATCACACAGAAGGTCGGAGAGCTATGTGGGGAAGTTGATTCCCTCACATGGCCCGCAGCTAAACGATCGGCAAAGAACTTGTCGATCGCAAGCACTTGTTCACGAGGCAGTGGCCACTGCTTCATGACACAGTACTTCGAGCCTGGTTTAAGCTCGACCTCGTGTCGAGTACTTTTATCCTTCGGTAACTCGCACAAAACAGTTTCAGGGAATACATCATTGAAATCAACCAAATCTTTACAAAGAGGATTTGTATTAAGCGATTCCCACGATGGGAGCTTATATCGCTCAACTCGTGTCTTTTTATCGAGGACACTCTCGTCCAACGATGAACTACTGAGAACTCTCTCGTTCTCAGTAAACACTTTTGCTGACCTAATGTCGGCCACACACTCGTCGTCAGCGACGAGTACGCAGATCTGCTTGACTTTGCCACTACGCAGATCACGCAAGAACCTTTTATGTTCGAGCGTTGGCAACTGAGTGATCTCCGAAGTCAACTTCGGAGGCGCAATCAGATCAAGTGTATAAGCGCCTACACTTGATCCGTTATTGACTATGACATTCAATGTCTCTGTCATTTCCTGGGGACTTATTCCCACAGGCTTCGAAGGACTTATTCCTTCGGCTTCCCGGGGACTTATTCCCGCGGGTTTCGGGGAACTTATTTCCGCCGTATTTGTATTATCGGAACTTATTCCATTTACTTCCTCTAGCTGTGGTTGCGCAACCACAGCGAGATCCTCGACGAAAGACTCTCCAGTCGATCTAGGATTATCGTTTCGCTTAACCTGAGCGATCGATGGTTTCTCTTCTAGATGTTCCCCGCTAGGGATACATCTTTGTCCCGGTCCACTCGACGTATTCGAGTGGTGGACTCGGCGCAGCCCGTGTTTACTCACAGCCGCCGGAACTTTGCTCCGAAGTATAACTGTTTGTTACACTAAGGTTTTGTGCAGTCATACTAACGACCGTACCAAAAGTGAGGCCGTCGCACTCACTCGTAGTACATCCACACGCTTGTGGACGCTCCAAAACGTTCATCAGATGGCTATTTGATGAACAAGCGGCAGGCATCGTTACTGTTCGATGTTGCCAGTTTACTCGTGGTTCGCACCTTCTGAGCCACGGTATTCCAAGGATGACATCATATTTGTCATCCAAATCCAATACGATAAAGTCATCGTCATATTGGGTATCTTCTAGCGTATAGTGAATCTTCTCTTAACGCTTCACGACGGTTACGGATGCGCCTGTCGCAAGACGTACCGTCATCCTCGTAGGAGGTGTGTCACATTCACTAAACTTAAAATGACCATCTTCTAGCGATCGGCGTTGCACAAGATTGATGGACGCCCCACAATCGACCAGAGCTCGAAGGGACAACTTATTCGTCACTTAGAGTTTCAAGGTAATGAGTGAGATCTCATTACCTAGAGCAGCAACGCACAACGTTTGTGTGTTGGGAGCAACCTTCATCAAGAGGCCTACAAATTCTCTTGACGTTGCTGGACCAGTAGGGTGCTCCGCACCTACTGATCCTGACCGTTTTTTGACGGTCCATCCCGTTGTTGCGTCTTTGCACCAACAGCGGACCCGCGTCCCTGCCCCTTTCTCATGGGTGGACGGTCACTACGCCCAGTGTTGCGAGACACTGGACGAGGGGCACTACACTCGTAAGCGTAGTGTCCTGTCTTTTGACATCTGTTGCATTTCTGCAACTTCTTGTAGCCTGTAGAGCGAGCCTTCTCGCTCTCTACATACAGAGTTCCATCGGCTCTGGACCTCCGCTGTCATATCGTCTTGGTTGACGATATGATGTCGAGCTGGCGCGAGTCTGTCTAAGACTGAAGTCTTCCTGTTCGCAATGGAAATGGCTTGTTTTAGTGAATCTAGTTCAAGTCGGAACAGGTGAGTCTTGACGGGACCATCCGCAAGATTCTGCATGAACACCGAAACCAACTGTTCATCTACCGGGTTGAAACTTATACAACTCGTGAGATGTCGTATATGTTGCGCGTAAGCGTGCACATTACGCTTACCTTGTTTGAGCTTCAAGAGTTCAGTTTGAGCTCTGAACTCAGCTCTAGGCGGTTCAAACGTTTGTCTGAGCCGCGACTTGAAGGCTTATAACGACCCAAACGCATATAGGTCGTGCAACTTGAGCCCCAAAGCCCAAGTCTTGGCACGTCCTGCCAGATTTGATTGGGCAAATTCAACTTGCATATCCCCGTCGTCGATGCGACGCGCCCTTATGGCGCCGTCTAATTCGACAAACCATCTCAAGAGGGAGTCCTCTTCGACTCCCCTATACTTGGAGATGTCAATCTTCAAGGTCTCGGGTCGACGCGAGTGCATCGACCCACCAGCAGCAGCCTGCTGCTGTCTCAACAGTTCAAACTGTTGAGCACCCTGTTCTCTCAACAACTCTGCTTGTTGAGAACCTTGTTGGTGAAGCAAGGCTACTTTCTCGCGTTCAGCGTCAAGTTCATTTTGAATGAACTTGGCGATAGTAGCATGTTGGGCATCTCTATCGAGAGCCTCTAGCATGACGCTAACAGCTTGGATGCCCATGGTCGAACCCATCCGTTCAACCGCATCCCATTCGACATTGCTCAAATAGGAGTAGCCGTCACGCGTAGCGTGAAAGCTTTGGTCATCTTCATCATCTAACATATTAATGTTAGATGTGAACGTGGTCCTTGGACGGACTACGAAGTGCTACCAGGTGTAACGGGGCACCCTGAAGCTTATTCCGATGACAGAATATGGCGGTGCCGCGTAACTTCACGTACACTGGTGCGTGCAGAGGAAGACGGTAAGGAGAAGCGAGTACTTGGTTAAAGTAAAAAGTAGAACTGTATTTATCATATTTAATGTCTGTTAACAAACCACTTTTTATCCTCATCTAGCTATGTCTAAATAAAAAGGTGTATATCAACTATATGCTCACCACTCATTGCGTGCGTCTGTCGTGGCGCGTCTTTGTCGGTTGATATAATGGCCTATATCAACCAATAAGGAGCTACTCGTAAGTGCTGCAGAATATTGTCATTATGACAATATTCTGAGAATATAACTCTTATAGTTATATTCTATTAACAATTTCTTCTAAATTGTTATGTAACGGTTCACCCCGTTACAGTGTCGGTCTTCGTCGCATGGTTCGAAAGACAGTTCTTGCATAAATTTACAACTCCTTCTCCGCCCACCTAGGTAGGTCAAAGACAATCGCCGCAAAGAGAAAAGAGGGTAGAAAAATGGAGTTCAGGATGAAAACCCTGTTCTTTACGCTAGTCGCCACACGCGTCGCAGTGAGTAGACGGCGCTGAATTCTTCGGATCCGCTGAGCCATATATTTAGTTGCCAACTGTCTGGTCCCGAAATCATACCCGAGGCACCTGGTGGTGGCGCCGGAAGGCACCGTATCGATCCCTGAATAGCTCTCGACGGAGAAAGCTTGGTTAAAAAGGAGATGTTTGCTCTTGGCTGGCTGTACATGGAGGCCGAAAAAAAAACTAAAGACCCGGACGATACCGAGAGCATAAAAACTGTGTTGCGCCTTGTCCAAGAAGAGCGTTGAATCGTCGACAAATGCCGAAAAGAGATGAGTCTGCTCGCCCCCCCCGGGCACGGGTAATCTTTAAAGCGACGAGTTTTGCTTAAGGGTGAGCCCTAAAAGCTCCACGAAAGATAAAAAGAGTAGAGGCACCAGCGGGTAGCCTTGGCGGATACCGAAACGCACCGGAAGCGCTGCTGACTGATCCCCGTTAACCACAAAACTCGCTGTCGTGCAAGTGTGGATCCGACAGATGAGGTTGAAAAATTGTTCATAGAAACCGAATAAGCGAAGGGTATCAAAAATCCCGGTCCAACGTATCGTAAGCCTTCCAAAAGTCCAGTAATAATATACAGAAACTGTCCTTCGCCAGCAAATCGGGCTGCTCCGTCGCTGTCGTTAGCAGGGCCATCGTAATCATCATCATCATCACCGTCTTGGTCATACGGCGCCCGTGAGCAAAACCTTGTTGAGAGTCGCTAATGACTCGAGGTGTACAAATCTGAACCCTTGAAGCTAGCACTGTTGAAAAAACTTTTTACATAGTTTGAAACAGTGATATAGGTCGGTAATCCATGGCGTCACCGATATTTCCTTTCTTCATCGGCGGAATTATGAGGGCCGAAAGAACGGATGGGGATGAATCGGCCTTGCAAAAATTCGGATGCTGATAGCAACCAGCGCCGTCACCATCAGCGCCGCAGTATCTAAAAAAACTTTTTAAGCCCATCAGGACCCTCCTCTTTATAGCGACTGATCCTTTTGACGGCCGACAGCATCTCGGCCTCCATGGTCGATAACAGTAGGTGGTCATTGTCAAGAAGAGTGAGCAATTGCGTCGGTGATATTGTCGCTAACGCACGGATCGTATCGGGCAACGAGACCACTGGATCCGTGAGACGGCTAGAGCTTAACACGGACGGCCTCCGACGCTAATTTTTCGGCCAGGGACATATGTCGTTGGAAAGCGTGCCCTTAGCGTGCCGTCAAAGACGAGACGTGCTGGTCCCATTCCCAATTGGCGACCTGTTTGTAAGTTTATCTAAGACGCTCGGCTGACCGCTCTATTATTTCCCCAAGCCGCTCCAAATGCGCATCCCTCAGCTCACCCACGTTGGCAAATATTTACTGACGCCGTGTTAAAAATAGCCTCCTCCCACACTGAATTTTTTTCGAGATATAGCATTGCGCCGCTGCTTTTCCTGCTTCCCCACCACGGTGAGACATCGTACGCACCATTTCACTGTGGTGTCCCAGGACTGGACAGTAGACGCATCAAACACCCGCCATTACTTCAATACCCGTAACAGATCCCGTAGAACCCCGGTCGGCTGAGCCGATGGGATGGGATACATCGCGCGCGCTTGTATGGGGTGAGTGGGGCGGGGTCGTCGGACCCTTTGTTGCAGGACCACTTGCTGACGATCAGGTTGTAGAGGTGGAGGAGCGGCTGAACTTTAGAGAAGCTTTGTTGCCCATATGCCGGGCACGAAGAATCGATAGATCCGGCTGGCCGTATCGGCAGCCCAGTAGGTGTAGTGATACGTCAGATCTTCCTCCTTCTCGTCCGCATGGTCCCGCACGAGGCGTGCATCACTCAGCCTAGACGCCGCCAGTAATTTTTTTAGCGCTGGCCTTTTTATCCGACTGGCTGTTCGATACCCCAGACGGTCTAATTGAGGATTCTGCACACAGTAGAAGTCTCCGAGAAAGGCCGTTTTCCCTGGTATAAAGTTATACTAGTGAAGACAAGTAAAAAAATGCCTCTCGCTATTCCTTACAGTAGTAGCGTACATGTTTAGGATGAAGATGTCCTGGAACTCAATGCCAATGGCGCGAGAAATCCATTTGGCTTCATTTCACGCAAAGGCCTCGGTCGAGACAGTTATTGGCTAGATAACATAATGGTAATGTAAAGGACTGCAAAAATTAACTACACAACTGGTCTTCGAGGATCCGACCGTCCAAAAAAACCTAGGCGCCTGACTCGATTCGTGTTGTTTTCCTCACACACTGTGCCATTCCTGCCGGAGTTCGGTTGCTTCCTCGACACTCTTGACATGAGTTTCTTGGGTGCACCACAGAAGAGGTCGGAAAATCACCGGAGTCCTAAGCCATGCCGCCATCCATTAAGCCTGTTTGTCTTTCGTGAATTCGATGATATTTTGGGACAGAAGCCGCTAATCCACCGCAAGGTGACACGGCCGGCGAGAGGAATACCCCATGAGGGTATGAAGCAAAGCACTGCGGCCGCACGCGTCCGCGCCCGAGAGCGCCGACCGAAGATCTTAGCAATAGATTGACAAACCTGGAATTAGTTATAGATAGCAGCATAAAAAGGACTGATGTTTAATAATAAACATGATTGATCCTGAAAACACTGGGAAACATCAAATACATGCAGGCGCTGTTTTCAAAATACCCTAGGTTCATGTCAGGATATCCATCATCGTATATTTCTATGCCAGCAAAACTTAACAAGACAGTCCTGACTTTTCTTTTTATCTTTATTTCTGTATTGTCTTTATTACGATGCGCCTTCCATCCTTCCCCTCAAGTAATACAACTCACGATACTGAGCCTTTACTACTTCAAAGTCGGTCTCAACAACTCATGAAGCTAAAATTTGGAATCTAAATCGTATCGATCTGTGTGAAGGAAGATCTTGACGCTTTCAGACCCTAACAAAATTACTAGCTCCATTTCCGAATTTTTTGCTGCTTTCTTGCTTACTCATATGCTCAATTTATATTGAAGCGATCTTCATCGATTTTCTATCAGCGCCCACAAACAGTGTCTTCACTAGCAACTATTAATGTTTACGCGCGTGTAGTTGAGCAGATTTATATCACCACCGCAAGCAAAAATGCATTTTAACGTGGAGCACGCTTCCTTACATGCACTCAGACACCGCTAATTGCATTCTAGCGATGCGAAAACTGCTTAATGAATCGGGCTCTGTGTTGTCCTAGCAATTATTCGCTTCGTTTAGTATTCTCTGCACTTGTATTGATTAAGCATGACTATGAGAGCACGGCCGCTTACAAATTTGTAAACTGCACAATCATTGATATACAAGAGCCACGCTGATAGTGTCCGCTAGAAATGTCCTCCTCGTCGATTAATTTAAAAGTACATCTTTGTAAAGATTGTAGCCTCGGATCACCGTGCGTTAGCGTATACATTAATGACCACTACTTTAGACTACAGCCTTATAAAGATAGTGACCTCATATCACTGTGCGTTAGCGTATGTAATAACGACCAATAACTAACCCAACTTGAATTTTGTACGGACCACATGAATCCCCACAAATTATTGGGCGTTCACAGATAAATTATACTCGTGGGACTGTCTGCGGACGTCATACAACATCTTAAACGGCTGAACTATCTGGCAGCACTTTGGGTACGGCATTCATGTCCGGACTCTGAAATGCGACCCACCTAGACGCAGACAACTCCATTTGATTTAAGCTCTTGCAATGGGACAGAATGCGTAGCGATACGCGATTCGACTGGAATGGGATCGAATAAAGCCTTACAGTTGCAGTCACATTTTCATTTGGGATAATTGTCATCACATCGATTTGCGCACATAGCAAACTTTCGGTCAACCGAGAGCACGTGTGGCATCTTGTGGACGCATGCAGTGCTGCTCCATTAGTATTCAATAAAGCAAAGTCGACGAATGCCTTTGTAAAATTTGCTTGTTTATGTTCTACAAGTCAAGTGGGACTTCAAAGGAATCAAGGATTTTGAAACTACGTCTTGGTATGCTTCAAAATGTTCCCCGAAAGCGGAAACACACATTTATCCAATAAATGTTATTTTTTAAATAATAGAAACTATATTAATTATTGGCAGGTGGTGGCTGATTGACGGGAAAATGGTACTATAATTATGTATCTGTATATGTAATGGGTCCCCTTTTGGTGCATTGGTAAGTCCCGCAGTCGAAATCATAAGATTACCGATTCTATTCGCCATGCGACCATCCCAAGGTCGTAAGATAA